GGTCCCGCCCTTTTCTCCAGGCTCCCCCACCACCACCCCCCACCCACCGACGCCAAGCTCGGCCCCGCCTCCGGCCTCGCCGCCCCTCGCGTGCACGGACGCATACTCACATACCGGCCTCCGGCTGCCGCCGCCGGGCATCCTCGCCCGCGGCCGCCGGCGCAGGTGCCGCCATAGCCTCCGCTCAAACGGCGGGTTCCCGCACTCCCTGGTGACTGCGCTCACCGCTTCCGGGTCCTCTCGGCTGTTTCCGGATCCGCTCGGCTGTTTCCGGATCGGCCCTGGGCTCGAGGCTGAGGCCGGAGTTGGGGAGGGGTGGCCGAGCCTCGGCCGAAGATTTCCGAGTGGACTCCCGGCCGCGGCCCCAGGTCCCGCCCCTCCTCGCCTTCTTTGTTGGGCAGCGATGCTCGAGAAGGACGCTTGCCCTTCAAACCACGAAGTAGTTCTTTCGTCAAAGGCCTTTGGGCGTCTCCGCGTGACCTTGGAAGCTTTGCTCAAATTACACGTCCTCCGGGACGCCCACTGCCTCAGCCTAAGGAGGGCGAAGCTCTCGCGGTCTCTCCCAAGCCCCGGAGCTGACCCCTATGATCTGTCCCTGGCCGCCTTTCCGCCTGAGCTAGGCTCACGTTAAAGCGAATTGTGGTCTGGCCTCCTTGCACCTCCGCTTTCGTGGAGCGTCCCTTGGGGCAGGGCTGCTGGGTCTTCACTTTTCTGGGCGCCTGGGTCCCCGCGTAGTCAGTCGTAGAAGTCAGAAACTTCCAAGTCCCCACCCCCACTTTGATATTCAGCCGGTCACCGCTTCCTGCTAATCCTCCCTCCACCTCCCAGTGCCTCTCAAATCCCTCCTTTCCTCTGTCGGTCGCTGCCCTACGTCAAGCTCTCATTATCTGTGACCTCTCCCCTCCAACAGCCGATCTGACTTCTCCCCTTGGACGGTGACAGGTAACTCAAACTTCAGTCTAGAGCCTTGATTGCCTTTCTCCCAAACCCGTTTCTCCATCTGGAAAGTACATTACAGGAGCCTGCAAGTCCTTGGTTCTTCGTGTCCTCCTGCAAGTCCTGTAAGCTCTACCTCCGAAAGACTGAATATTCCAGAACGGGTCCCTTTTTCTTCATCTTCAGCTCTGACACCTAGCCCCAGTCCCACCATCACTAGCCCCACCCAGCCCCAGTCCCCATCATCTCTTTCCTGAACTTGCACGCTGCCAAAGGCTCCCCCTGTGTTGCCATTTGGCCCCTTTAGTTAATTCTCAAAGCAATTAAGGGTGATCTTTGTAAAACGGGTCATGTCTCATTTTAAAATGGGCGAAGGACAGGAATAGACATTTCATTGATGTCGCAGACAGCAAATGTGTGCATGAAAGAAGATATTCAACATCATTAGCCGTTAGGGAAGTGCGGATTTCCTACTTGCACACCTACCCGGACAGCTAAAATTTAAAAAGAGTGATAATACCAAATGCTGGTGAATAGATGGAGAAACTGAGTTTCTCGTGTATTCCGGATGGGAATGTAAAACGGTATAGCTACTGTGGAAAAGGGTACGACAATTTCTTAAAAAACTAAACATGACCGGGCTTCCCTGGTGGCGCAGTGGTTGGGAGTCCGCCTGCCGATGCAGGGGACGCGGGTTTGTGCCCCGGTCCGGGAAGATCCCACATGCCGCAGAGAGGCTGGGCCCGTGAGCCATGGCCGCTGAAAACTAAACATGACCTTACCTGAACACATCAAGCTGTTCCCCAACCCAGGTCTTGGCTCAGAAGTCACCTTCTCAGTGAAGCCTTCCCTGACCACCCTGTCTAAAGTAGCCACTTCTATCACCTGTCCACCATTAGATCGCATTAGAGACTTCTCACCACCTGAAATTGTTTATTGGTTAACTTATTTATTATTTATTAACAATTGGTTAACCAACTGTTTACTGGTTAACATGTTTATTACCCCCTTTAGCCTTCTGTGGCCCCCAAGACTTGAATCAGAGCTCCATGAGATTTGGAACATTGTCTTTCTTGTACCGTTATTTTCCCAGCACCTAGCACAGTGCCGGGTAAATAAACAGTAATAAATAAATATTTGGTGAATGAATGAATGAACACTTTCCTTACTGATCTCTCTGGCCTCCCTCCAACCCCCCTCCCCTCCCCCACCCCACTGCAGCCTGGGTAGTTTTAGAAAATGCAAATCTGACCAGGTCAACTCCTAGATTATAAATCCCCAAGAGCTTCTTGCCCTCAGAACAGAGTCCAGACTCCCTGTATATGTGGCAGGGTTTCTTGGGAAAGGCATGAAATGATGCCTGTAAATAAGGTTCCGGTCAACTATCAGGCTTGGATTTTAACCTGAGACCCTGGGAGTCACTGAAGGCTGTTGAGCAGGGGAAGCACAGGGCTAATTCCAAGGAAACACTCTCTGTGAGGAATGTGGGTGGGAAGTAAAGGAGGTAGAGGACAGAGAGCCCACAAAAGAAGCTGTTGAAATGGTTCTGGTTGAGAAGAGTCCAAAATAGGAGAAAATTGACTCTAGAAATACTGAGGATAGAAAATGAACTAGCTTTGGTGACTGAGTACATGCGGGAAAGAGAAAAAGTTTCCTGTCACTCTTTCTAACTTCCCTTTTTATTTACTTATTTATTTCAGTTGATTTACAATATTATGTTAGTTTCAGGTGTACAGCAGAGTGGTATGCTTGTGTATATATATATATTTTTTTCAGATTATTTTCCATTATAGGTTATTACAAGATATTGAAGATAGTTTCCTGTGTTATACACTAAATCCTTGTTGCTTATCTATTTTATGTATAGTAATTTGTATCTGTTAATTGCACACTCCTAATTTATTCCCCCCCCCATTCATTTCCCCTTCGGAAACCATAACTAACTTCCTGCCTTTATACAACAAACACTTATTGAGCACCTACTGGATGCCAGTGAACCAGGCAGTAAAGACCCCTGTTGTAGCACAATGAATAATCTAGGGCAGGTGGCCAATGAGAAGACTAAAAAATAAACAAGCAGACTTTGGGACTGGGGCAAATGCTGGGAAGGAAATAAAATAGGCGAGTGAGGTTAATTTCAAAGTACCTGAGGTGTCAGGAAAGGCCTCTCTGAGGAAGCAATGTTTGAACTGAGAGTTGAGCAATGGAAAGGAGACAGTGGAGTGAAGAGCTGAGAGTAGATCCAGGAAGAAGGGCAGCAAGTGCAAAGGCCCTGAGTCAGGGGCCGAGTGGTGGAGAGTTGAGGTAGGAAATGTAGTCGCGGGCAGCCTCCCTCAGGCCTTTGGAATATTTATTTTAGGCAGATAACAGTCGCTGGAACGTTCTAAGCAGGGAGCTGGCATGCTCTAGCAAGAAGGTGTGAGGCAGCTGGGAAGCTAGTGAAGGGATGAGAGAGATTCTGTTGAAGGAAAGGCAGATAGGGTCCTGCCCCCTCACCGGCTCCATGTTCTTCCCCCCTCCTCAGCCGCCCCAACCCCCCCAAAGGGAGGTGGGGGCCCTGCCAGCTGGAGGGTCCCCTGGGGTTTGCCTAAGGCAAACAGGAAGCCACAGCCCAGTGAGACAGGCCTGGGAACCAGCAACTGAGAAAGCAGGTCTCCTGGGTCCCTGGCCCTTTTTCCTCCGTGACTGCAGCAGTGACAGACACAGAGATTCACATGGAGGGGGTGGGGCAGGGTGGGGAGGAGATAGAGAGAGAGAGAGAGAGAGAGAGAGAGAGAGGGAGAGAGACATGGAGGGGTGTGTGTCAGAAGAACAGATTTAAGAGTCAGGACGCCTGGGTTCTGGTGCCCAGTTGTACCACCAGCCCAATGTGTGATCTCAGGCAACACCCTGCCTTTGTGTGTGTGTGTGTGTGTGTGTGTGTGTGTGTGTGCGCGCGTGTGTGTGTGGCTCAATTTTCCCACTTCTAAATGGGTTCCTTCCATAACTGAAGCAGGGGCTTCCTGGGGAAGAACTGGGAGACAAAGGGGCATTAAGTATCAGTCATTCCTCAGTACCGCTGCAAAGGAGCCCCAGTGGCAGAATGGCTTGAATCCTTAGCTATTAATGGACACTGTCTCTCACGAACTGAGAGCGCTTGCTATGTGCTGTGCTGAGCTACAAGTGCCGTATGTATATCATCCTGTGTAATCGCCACAAACAGTATATATATTTTTTTAATTTATGAAATTTATTTTCTTATATAAATTAGGAATTTCTCTGGGCAGACAGCCTTCACCTTACTGCAGTAATAGCACATCTGTAATACCAAGCTACAGGACAAGTCTTAACAAGGTCTGTATTCAACATAGCACTTGTCTACCGGGCACTGTAGAGCAGGATGAGGAAAAGCCAGGATCCATCTCAGGTGAAGAAGGGCGAGGGGGCAACGTGTCTCCCTTTCTGACAGTTGGTTTTCTCCCGGGAAGGGGAACATGCAAAATTATGTCTGGATTCTGGAAGTGGGAGGAGATCTTGGAGGCTGAGAAGCCCAATGCAGCACTGCAGCTCGGCTCCCTTTATCTCTGAGGGAAGCAGGGACTCCTCTTTCACTCATCTGTACCACGTCACTCTGGCCCAGCTGATGCTTTGGGGAAACGGGGACGGGGTCATCATCGAATTAGCAGCAGCTAAGAACAGGCCATACACAGCCACAGTGTGGAGGTGTCATCCTGGCCCCAGGGACCTGAAAGCACAAACAATATTTTGAGACTACGGTTATTATCCCCAGTTTACAGAGAAAGAAACTAAGGCTTAGAAAGATGAAGACATTTAGCCAAGTGGCAGAGGTGGAGGATTCACACTCAGGTCTGCCAGATCCCACCGTATTTGTGATGGGCTGCTTGTACGGAGGTGGAGAAAGGCCCAAGAGACGTTGGTTGAATGAATGAAGAGGGTGTGTGTGTGAAGGGAAATGAACTAAGAGCCTGAGGTTGAAGGAGGGAGGAGGGGGAGGAGGAGGGAGCCTGGACCCACTCATTCAACAAATATTCCTTGGGCGCCTACACAATAACGTGCCAAGCACTGTTCCGGGGCACTGTGTGTACAGTTGTGAACAGGACAAAGTCTCTGCCACAAGGGGCTTTCTAGTGGGGAAACAGAAATCCATCAAGAAAGGAGACACGCAAATAAGATCATCTCACATGGTGGTAAGTGCTGTGATGAAAATAAAACACGGTAGCAGGGAGGAAGCGAGTTTTGTGGCTCTGGAGGGGTGCATGGAGAAAGGGCCTGAGGCATGACCACCCCTTCCTCTCCGGGGGGACTGCCCGTCCTCCCCCACAGACGCTCATGGTCCAGTGCCCACCAGGTCCCCGCCTGCCCCAGCATCCCCCGCGCGGCGAAGCTGGCTGCCCCGGGGAGTCTGGCCACCATGCCACCTCCTCTCCTCTTTTTCCTCCACCTGTTCCTTACCCCCATGGGAGTCAGGCCCCAGGAAACACACCTACTGGAGGCTAAAGGTATGTCCGGAGGGCAGAGGTGGATGGAAGGGCTGGAAACCTGGGTTCTGGTTGGGTGCCCTTGGCCAAGTCACTTACCCTCTCTGAGCCTCCATTTTGTTACTTGTAAAATTCAGGGGACGACTGCAAGCACTCTGAGGACTCGTCCACTCCCAGCTGGTGGGGTCGTTGGTTTTATAACCTAGTGTGAGGAGTGAAGGGGGCTAGGGGCTCCTCACTCGCCACCCCCATCCTTCTCTCTCTCCACAGAGGGAGGCAATGCTGTGCTGCCATGCCTTGAAGGTCTCTCAGATGGTCCCTCTGAGCAACTGGCCTGGTTTCGGGGCTCCCAACCAACACCCTTCTTAGAGCTGAGCCTAGGGTTACCAGGCCTGGGCATCCATGTGGGGCCCCTGGGCACCCTGAAGGAGCCCCAGGGAACCTTGCTGCTCATCTTCAATGTCTCCGACCAGATGGGGGGCTTCTACCTGTGCCAGTCAGGCCCCTCTTCTCAGCAAGCCTGGCAGCCTGGCTGGACGGTCAGCGTGAAGGGCAGCGGTGAGGTCCAGGCTGGGGCAGGGAGGGCTGGATGAGAAGAGGGAGGCCCACCGTAGATGGAGGAGGTCCAGCAGCTGAAATGGATCTGGAGGGAGGGGCTGGAGGGTCCGAGGGACAAGCTGGGAGCCAGTTTTAGGTGGCTTCTAAAAACTGCTGTGCTTCGTGACGTCAGCACTGCGCCGCTCTGTATTTGTCTTTCACTCTTTTCTCTGAGTCGCCGTTTCTCTGTCTCTCTCTGGGTCTTTGCCTCTGCCTTTCTGGGTCTCTGTATCTCTCTGCCTCTCCTAGATGCCTCTGTATCTGGTTCTGGGTATCTTCCCAGGAGAACTGTTCCGGTGGAATGCTTCAGACCTAAATGACCCAAGCTGTGGCCTGGGGGACAGGTCCTCAGAGGGCCCCAGGCCCTCTTCTCGTCACCCCACAAGGTCCCAGCTCTATGTGTGGGCCAAGAACCACCCTGAGATCTTACACACAGACTCTGCCTGTGCCCCACCTAACGGCACTTTGAACCAGAGCAACAACCATGGTAAGGTGCTGGGGAGATGCCAGGAAGTGGGGGGATGGGAACTGGATGGTGTGCAGGGGAGGAGACCCCCAAGGACTACACTTCCCTAGCCTTGGCTCTCCTTGCCCCAGACCTCACGGTGGCCCCTGGCTCCACACTCTCGCTGTCCTGTGGGGCATCCCGTACCTCACTGGTCAGAGGCCCCATCTCCTGGATCCATGTGCATCCCAAGAAGCCTAACATCAATTTGCTGAGCCTAAACCTCAGTGAGGATGCCCAACTCAGAGAGATGTGGGTCATGGGCACCCTCGGGGGAAAGGCTGTTCTGTTGCTGCCCGAGACCACAGCTCAAGATGCTGGCATCTATCACTGTAACCATGGCAACGTGACCACCCAGATGCAGCTGAAGGTCACTGCCCAGTCAGGTAGAGTTTCTCCCAATTGTGGGGCATCTGAGTGGGGCTACTGGGAAGAACCGGAAGCCCGGCAACCTTGGTTCCCCAACCTGAGGGCTAGTAGCAGCCTCACCCCGAGCCCCAACCTCTACACTGAACACTGACCCCAACTTTTTCCTCCCTTGCTTCCAGGACACTACTTTTCTGGGTCTTTTACCACTGGTTGTTTCTTCCCATCAACTTTGGGAGAGGCTTCCTTCCTCCCTCATTCCTCACTGTTGGAGCCTTGAGCCCTCTTCTTATCCCTGTCTACACTTTCTCAGCCTTGATTACACACTCTTCTTGTTTGACTTCCTTTACTCCCATGGCTCCTTAGGCCACCATGCCTTGGTGACTCAGTTCCATACACTCCACACCCAGCCAACTCGTGGCATTGCCATTTGATGTCCATGGACATTGCAGGCTCAACATGTACAAAATCAAACTTGATATCTTCCTCAAGCACAGTCTTCTAGGTGGCCCTAGAAGTGAAGGACACTACCACCTGCCCATGTGCCCAAGCCAGCAACCTGGGCATCCTTCCTTTTCCTCACCTGTCCACCAAATTGGCCATAATGTTCTGCCCATTCTGTCTCCCTTCTTTCAATCCTACCATGCTACTGCAACCGCAGTTCTCAAACTCATCCTGAACTTTCCCTCCAAACTCGACCTCAGCAGCACATTGCCACATCTCACCTCTAACCTTGTGAACTCGACTCTGCTCTTTACGTTGACCATGGCTGTCCTTAACTGCAGCAGGAAGCTGATAATTATGCTCCCCTTAATCCTAACATTGTGTCTGACTATAGTCATAGTTTGTTCATGGTTTGCTTAACAGATGCCACTCCAGGCCCCGTGCCAGGCTCCGGGTCCTCAGAGGGAGGGAGGAGAGCCCTCCCTGTAGCTTGGGACGTTGAGGATCTGTGTCTTGCCCCGGCCCCCCAGACTTATGGCCCTTTGAGGTATTGAGGCTGGACAGCAAGATGCCAGCCCGGGGTCTTCATCTCATAGCTCCTTCCCCCTAGCAGTATGGCATTGGCTACTGGAGACTGGTGGCTGGATAGTCCCTGTTGTGACTTTAGTTTATCTGATCTTCTGCCTGGCTTCCCTGGTGGGCTTTCTTCATCTTCGAAGAGGTGAGTCATGTCCCCCAGCTGGTCTTCCCAAGCTTACCCCTCCCTCCTCAGGAGAGGCCACACTGGCCAGTCTGACAACCATCTGTTTCTCCTCCCACACCTCCCCCCCAGACCTCAGAATCCTGCCCCCACTCCTTTTCTATCCCCTCCCCCAAACTACCCGAGCTCTTTGGAATTTGAAATCCCATCTCCTCCAAGTGACTTCTCCAGCATCCCCCAAATCTTCACCCTTGAGTCCCTCCTCTGATCATTCCCCTTAACTCCCCCCAGCCCTGATCCTGAGGAGGAAAAGAAAGCGAATGACAGATCCCGCTAGAAGGTAATGATGCCAGCGCCCTCCAGGCTCCCACTCCTGCACTTTCACCTTATGCTTTGCACTTGCTGTTTCCTCTGCTCAGGGTGTCTTTTCTCCATCTCTATGGTTGAAATACTGCCCAACCTTCAAAGCCCAGCACCAAAGCTACCTCCTCTGTGAAGTCATCCTTTGAGTGAGCGCAGACCCCTCTGTAGGCTGTGGCAGAACAGAGGTGCTCATAACAAAGTGACCACATTTTAACCTCTGAGGGTCTAGCCTGAATCTTGAGTGTCCCCTCCAGTCCCCTCCAGGCCTGGCCTCACAGTGCAATTCCCCTTCCTCCGCCAGGTTCTTCAAAGTGACGCCTCCCCCGGGAAACGGGGCCCAGAACCAGTACGGGAACATGCTCTCCCTCTCCACTCCCCACTCAGGCACGGGTAGGAGGCACCGCCAGGTCCCTGACCCAGAGCTAGAGCCCCACCCATTTTTCCTCATCCTTCTAGACCCCTGAGCTCCAAGCCTTCCCGAGCTCGGAGCTCCGCCTTCAGAAAAGAGCCCACCCCAGGGTGCGGAGTCCCGCCCAGACTTGAGCCCCGCCCCCAGGACCAAGGCCCGCCCCCAGAACTCGTATCCCCGCCCCCAGACTCGGGACCTGAAGTCCGGTTCTGACCCCAGAACCTCGCCAGAGACTTCAGGCCACGCCTCTAGATTTAGATCCCGCCCCGCTGGCTCAAGGCTGGGTACCTAGATCCGGAGTCCTCCAGCAGGCCCTGAAGCATCCTCTGCCCGTAGCCCTGACCAACCCCATCTCCTCTCACCCGCCAGGACGCGCCCTGCGGTGGGCTGCGGGCCTGGGAGCCACCGTGCCGTCCTACGGAAATCCGCGCAGCGACGTGCAGGAGGCCAGAGCCTCGGGGTCCTGGAGCCCACCAGGAACCGGTGATTGAGGCGGGTGGTTACTCACATGGGAGGTGTTGGAGCGGTCTGTGGCAGGAATAGTGGACTGGGGCCTGGAGGAGAGGGCCCGTGACCCGGTTCCCACCCCCATCCCCAAACCCCAGGCCCAGAAGAAGAGGAAGGGGAGGCCTATGAGGAGCCGGACAGTGAGGAGGGCTCCGAGTTCTACGAGAACGACTCCAACCTTGGGCAGGACCAGCTCTCCCAGGGTAAGACTGCCCTCCCTCATCCTCACCTTCTCAGCCTGCGTGGGCTGTGGGCCCTCCCTGGATCCCCCTCCTTCTCCACCAGATGGCAGCGGCTATGAGAACCCTGACGAAGGGGTCTTGGGTCCTGAGGATGAAGACTCCTTCTCCAACGGTAATCTGGGGTACCCGTGGGGCCTCATAGACTTGGGAGAACCCACAGGGCTGTGGATCCCCTACAGGGCCGGAGTGGTCCCTGGAGTTCTCTTTCTTTGGCAGCAGCTGAATCTTATGAGAATGAGGATGAAGAACTGGCCCAGCCAGTTGCCAGGACAACAGGTGTGTGTGAGGATGGTCACATTCCTGCGGGGTGGATGGGGGGTGGTGGTGGTGTGTGTGACGCGAAGGCCGGGAGTGACTTCCCTCTTCCTTCTCCAGACTTCCTGAGCCCCCATGGGTCAGCCTGGGACCCCAGCAGGGAGGCAACCTCCCTTGGTGAGAAGTGCTTGGGACCTGCCTGTCTTTGTCCAGGTTGGGTTGATGTGGCCTCGGCTCTAATGTCAGGCCCGACCTTGACCTTGGTTCTGACCCCAAACCCAAGCCCAATCCTGACCTTAGATTTGACTCCTAACTCTAACCTCAACACTGACCCCAATGCCCATCCTGACGCCCAGTATTCACCCCATCCCTCATCATCAACATCAGCCCCAACCCCAATCCAGTTCCAGCCTGGACTTTGACCTCCAGCTCACCTCAGCCCCAATGCAGGCCTCACCTTTGACCTGAGCTCTCTCTACAACCTCCTCACAACTCTGACTTTGACTCCTTCCAATTCCGTTCTCCACTTTTTCTCTGACCATGACCATAATCTAACCACATGTGATCAAACCCTACAACAAACAAGGGCCCAGAACCTGATGCTAACCCTGTCACTCCTTCCTAGTACAATATCGTTCAAGCCTTCCACTTTCCTCTGCCCCTAAGACTCCCTCAGTATCTTAGGCTGCACTTCCCTTCCCCAAGCCCCCAGCATAGCTCCCAGGCTTCCAACTCTCCATCCCCTGGCCAAGCAGGGTCCCAGTCCTATGAGGATATGAGAGGGATCCTGTATGCAGTCCCCCAGCTCCGCTTTGTTCAAGCCCAGCCTGGTCCCAGTCATGAAGAAGGTAGGTGCTGCTCCTGCTGTCTCCCATTGTCCTCTGAGTCTTCCTTCCTCCCAGCTGACTTTCAGCTCCACTTATATCTTACTCCTTCCTGGTCCTGACCAGATGCAGACTCTTATGAGAATATGGATAATCCCGACGGACCAGAACCAGCATGGGGAGGAGGGGGCCACATGGGCACCTGGAGCAACTAGGTGATTCCCTTTAGGTGAGCTGGGAACTGCCCTCCAAGGATGGGAAAGAAGGAGGGAGATGAATAGGGATGGAAGTGGGGTGCTGGCTCCTGGACTGCTCCCCATTACCATTTCTTCTGCATAGCGTGGGCCTCCTCAGGCCCCTGAGATCCACACCTGACTCTGAAATCTGGGACCCCCAGCAGATGGCTCCAGCCTCTGGAGCAGTGTTACTCAGGATGCGTGTATCTGTGTACACACACAGTGTACACAAGCGAAACTTCGGCCCCCTTTGCACTCCCCAAATAAACTCAGTGATCTCTTCCAATCCTGTGACATAGTGCCCTTGTGTGGGAGGGGAAGGGAAGGTGAGGATGCATGTATTCCCAGCCCCTCTTGAATCCAGCGGAGGAGGGAGAACTGCATCTCCGAAACCACAGGGCCTTTTCCCACCTGGGGATTGGCCTGCACTCATCTCCCTCACTTGCCTGCCATTCCCGCCAGCCAGTCATTCAGTCATTGTTCATTCAGCAGTTGTATTCGTGGCGCCCAGTGAAGACGAAGCAATCCAGGAATTGGCAATCATCACTGCCATATACTGAGCATCTACTATGTTCTAACATCAATGAAGGCATTTAACCTTTCTAATCATCTGTTATGTGCCAGGATTGTATCAAAGTATTTTATGTATATTTTAACTGTGTGTATGTTTATAAATATTAGCTCATTTTATCTTCACAAACAACCCTGTTTCATAGATGAGGAGACTGAGGCAGAGACCCTAAATTACATGCCCAAGACTTACCTAGTTAATAAATGTTGGGGTCAGGACTTGAACTCTGGCCGTCTAATTCCAGGGCCTATATCGTTCTTGACACTCTCTCTTCCTAGGTGCAGTTGTGTAGATGGAAAACTGAGGGTCAGAGAGGCCAAGTCATGCAACTAGCACTTCACAGAGCTGAATCCAGAAATCTGGCTGCTGTTCTAGCCATGGTGCCTACTGCCTGGTAAACTGCCTGTGATATAAACCACAAACACAAAGACTTCAGAGCTAAAAGTCTCCAGGCCCTGAACCCATTATGTGGCAAGCTCTGCCACTCCCAACTTCCTGCCTGTCTCAGGCAAAGGTGGACGCAGTCATTGATAGTCTTGGTGTCTTCTGCCTGGTCTCCCCAGCTCCAGTGCTCTTCTGAAACCCAGGACTGGCATCCGAAACCTAGTCCCTCTCCTGCTCCAGAAGTTTCAATGCTCTCTGTAAGATTGCCTAGACTTTTTCAGTACCTATATTTTTATTTCTAGAATTCCTTTTCTTTTCTTTTTTTTTTAAAATAGAATTCCTTTTCTTAATGTACCTGTTCTTTCTTCATAATGTCCTGTGTTTGTTTTTGAGACTCTATTCGTTCTTTACTCTGAACCTTTAAAACTTACTTTAACTGTATTAACGTCATTATGATGTACCAGGCATTGTTCTAATAAATGCTTTACAAGTAGCAGCCCATTTTATCTTCATGACAATTCTATGAGGAAGGTACGCTACAATTATTATCACCTTAGAGCTGAGAAGACTGAGGCACAGAGAAATTAAATACTTCAGTTGCTAGCTGACTTTAGGCAACTCACTCAAGCTCAATGACCCTCAGTGTTCCCAGTTATAAAGTAGCATTAGGGAGGAGGCGATTATCATCATCTGTACAATGGGGTGAAGCCTCCCATGGTGTATCACCATGGAAGAGTTCTTTGACTTCTTTGTGTTTCTCCTGCAGGAGTCTTTTGCCCCACTCACATCTTCTGGGGCCAGCTTGCTTTGGCTTCTGCCACAGTCTTACAGGCTACACAGGTTTCTGACCATTTTATTTAGAGCAGGCTTTTGCCCTAGGGGTTTGGTCTGACTCCAAGCCCATACTCTGGTGACTCTGGGGATTCTGATTTCCTGCCATGACTTTTTCCAAACTGCATCCCAAGGCCTGTGGATGGATTGTTTTCCCCTCTGTCTTCTGTGCCCAGGAGAGACAGTCCTTTCTCAGCTCCCAGCTTTGCACATGGGGCTTAGTTTCAGCAGCCAGATTTCTGAATTCCATCTCTGCTCTTCCTGGGGCCTCAGCCTTAACCTCTGTCCCCATGGGGACATTAAAACTCCAATCCTAGGGATCCCAGCATTCCCATGTGCTGCCCTCTCAATGTTGTAGCTTTGATTTCCTTTGTTATTTCGAGAGCCAGGGAGATTCTGTCCTGCTTTTGAGCTCAGGTATCTATTAAGAAAAAGAAAAGAAGGAAAGCGATGCCTCTTGTTGTATTTGCATAGTGTACGTTTGGAATGCAGGGGATGGGAAATGAACCTTCAGCATTTCCTTGGCCTTCCATCTTGGACACAGTCCATGTGGCAGAAACAAAATTAAAAAATAAATAAATAAATATCCCAGATCTAGCTCAGGATTCACACCCTGACCTGACCTTACCCTTCAGCTAATGTAAGCTTTCCATATTGCCAAAGTCCCCACCATTCCCTATTGCCTTTCACCCAGTCTGCTTCATTCATGTAGGTCTCCTGCCTGTGCCTGAATCATTTGAACATGACACTCCTGGTGAAAACATCCTTACCTTCTCAAGGGTGAATCCATGTCTGGGTCTTCTCTGTGCCCCTGGTACCCAGCCAGGGGATGGCAAAGATCAGGAGCTCAGGAAATGAGTGGGGAAGGAGGAGTGAGTGAAGGACTGTGCCAAGTCCTGAGATTCAGGGGCCAGAGGCTGGAGCTACTCCTGTGAGCTCTGCTACCCAGCGAAGTCTTGGGAGAAGATGAGGAACAGAGGTGTGCTAACTCCAGCCCAGTGCTCTGGAATTAGACTACCTGAGTTTGAATCCCAGCTCCAACCCTTTCTGGCTGTGTGACTCAAACTCTCTGTGCTGCAGTTTCCTGGTCTGTAGAATAGGGATAATAATGATAGGTACCTTAGTGAATCTTAAATGAGATGTAAAGCACATGACAGTAGCATAGTAGCCACTCGAACATTAGCTGTTATTATTATTTGGCATTTATTAAGGGCCTACTGTGTCCCAGGAGCCAGAGGGCACACAGAATATTTGGATTAGGAACTCCTCCAGTGCAGGGACCTGCTCAGAAGAAAGCCACACTCCAAAGCTTCACAAATTCCCACCCCATGACCTGTTTCTTTGGCAGGGACTGGATCACTTATAGTTCCTGAACAAGATTTAGGGAGAAGGAGGCTTGAGAGAGGTTTCAGGCCCTCAGGGTCACCCCTAGTTTGCAGGGGCCTCCCAGGTAGGGACTGAGGCTGCAGAAGGGCTTTTGGTGTAATCTCTATGCTTTCAGCCTTACTATAAAGAGTGGATGAAGAGTTCCCAGGGCTAGGAGGTCCTTGGAGTCCACTCTGCCAGTTCCAGAGTCTTTGTTCTTTGGGGAACAGCCTCACCTGCTGGGGTTGTGTGCTTTCAGTCTTGACCTTGGCTGAGTCTACTTGGTGGACTTGAAGTGTGGGCTGAGTTGGGGTGTGTGTGTAGGGGATATCAGTGTAGCAGAGGAGGGGGGATGGGATGGGATGTGGGTGGTCATCAAGATGCTGTACTGGGGGAACTTCCCTGGTGGTGCAGTGGTGAAGAATCCGCCTGCCAATGCAGGGGACATGGGCTCGAGCCCTGGTCCGGGATGATCCCACATGCCGCGAGCAACTAAGCCCGTATGCCACAACTACTGAGCCCACGTGCCACAACTACTGAAGCCCGAGCGCCTAGAGCCCGTGCTCTGCAACAGGAGAAGCCTCCACAATGAGAAGCCCGCGCACTGCAACGAAGAGTAACCCCCGTTCGCCGCCAAGTACAGAAATCCCGCGTGCAGCAACAAAGACCCAACGCAGCCAAAAAAAAGAAAAAAAAGATGTTGTACCAGGGACTTCCCTGGTGGCGCAGTGGTTAAGAATCTGCCTGCCAATGTAGGGAACACGGCTTCTGAACCCTGGTCCGGGAAGATTCTACATGCCACAGAGCAACTAAGCCTGTGCGCTGCAAGTACTGAGCCTGCGCTCTAGAGCCCACGAGCCACAACTACTGAAGCCCGCATGCCTAGAGCCCGTGCTCCGCAACAAGAGAAGCCACCGCAAGGAGAAGCCTGCGCACTGCAACGAAGAGTAGCCCCCGCTCGTCGCATCTAGAGAAAGCCCGCGCGCAGCAATGAAGACCCAACACAGCCAAAAATAGATAAATAAATTAATTAATTTGTAAAAAAAAAAAAGATGCTGTACTGGATGGATGTGTGAGGTGCAAGTTATGTGAACGTTAAGTGTGTGAGAGACAGGTGGTATTGGGTGTATGCTGTGTGGGTGTTATGTGTGAAGTGTAGTGTGGCATGTATAGTGTGAGGTGTCAGGGGAGTGAAAATTAATAAAAGGAAACCTCACTAAAGTGGAGTCTGAAGGGGGAGCTTTCATGCTGTACCACTTGTCATCAATTACAGGAAGAACTGTCAGTTAAAGACCCCAACAGAAGAATCATGGACAGGAAAGAATCATCAATTACAGGTCCCAACAGGAAAAGATGTACATTAAATATCCTAGAAGAAATCCACTACCCGAGCAACTCAGGCAATGAGAAACCATCATCACCCTGAACTTTCACGTTTCTCCAATGGACTTTCCTTCAAAACGACCCCTCCCAATGTCCTCCCTTTTCTCTATAAAATAACCTTCTTTGTTGGACTTGCCTATGGCTTTCGCTATAGCTTCCTTGTCCCAAGTTGCAGTTCCTCTGCTATTCCTGAATAAACCCATTCTTGCTGGTAGAATAACTGACTTTATTTCTAAGGCCAACGGGGGTCATGCAGTTGGAGGCAATATGGGAGGTGTGAAGCGTAGGAGGGGTGTGTCTGTGTTAGCGCGCAAGTTAGTGTGCCCAATGCACAGTGAGGCCAAACAAACCAAAACATTGAGGTTAGGAGCAGAGAAAGGTTTATTTCAGGGCCCTGCGAGGAGACAGGTGGCTCATGGCCTAAAAAGCCTGGAGCTCCCCAAATGGTTTCAGCAAAGCATAGTTTTAAAATTTTATTTATTTATTTATGGCTGCGTTGGGTCTTCGTTGCTGCACACGGGCTTTCTTTAGTTGCAGTGAGCGGGGGCTGAGCAGGGGCTACTCTTTGTTGCGGTGTGTGGGCTTCTCATTGCCGTGGCTTCTCCTGTTGCGGAGCAGGGCTCCAGGCGCGTGGGCTCAGTAGTTGTGGCGCACGGGCTTAGCTGCTCCACGGCATGTGGGATCTTCCCAGACCAGGGATCGAACCCGTGTCCCCTGCATTGGCAGGCAGATTCTTAACCACTGCCCCAAGTGCTGGTGGGGGGTTTTCACATCTGTAAAACAACTTAGGAAGTGTGTGTGTCAAACATTGTTATCTAGGTATCAATACTTCAGAGAGCAGCTAAAGCAGAAGATATGGGGGAAGGGCCTGTCCCAGGAAGGCCCCATAGGGTCCTGATCGGTTACATCTGTGCTGCGTCGGGGTGCGTGTTGTACAGGAGTTGTGGGTACAGTAGATGTGTGGAGGATATGTAGCCTCTGAGGTATGCAGTGTCGTTGGTGGGTGTGTTGGGGAAATAAAATGAAAAAACAAAACCTGCTTCCCACCCAGAAAACCTCTACACAGAGGTAGTAGAGACAGAAAACACTTTTATTATTATTTTTTGAATTTTTGAATTTTATTTATTTTTTATACAGCACGTTCTTATTAGTTATCTATTTTATACATATTAATGTATATGTGTCAATCCCAATCTCCCACTTCATCCCACTGCCACCCCACCCCACCACCACCCTCCGCCGCCACTTTCCCCTCTTGGTGTCCATAGATTTGAGAAAACAGTTTTATTATTGAATAAGCATTAAACAGAATGCCAGGCACATTACAGGCAATCCCCTGAGAGATGGATTGCAAAAGCAGAAAGAAATCTCACCATTTTATATAGCCAAGCAGGTACCACCCATTATTCTGTTTTCAAGATAAATTTTCAAAACCCATGTCTTGTTTTCAAGATAAACAATGACTAGGCCTCAAGTAAGAAGACTTGACACCACCTTTAGGCACACGTAGATCACCCTTACTTTATCATGGTGATTAGCTTTTATCGAAGGGCAAGACAAACTTATGGCATCTTTTTTTTTTTCCTAGAGTTTGATTTATCTAGTTTTGTTTCTTTTCTTTTTTAAAAAAATTTTATTCGAGTGTAGTTGCTTTACAGTATTTTTGATGGGAGGTGGTTTTGTATATTGCAGCAGAGCCTCCATGAAGTTAGGCTGTTATTCTCCCGCTGGAGCTGGGAGATGGGGAGATTGGGAGCTATTTCCCTTGATGCTTGCATTTCAAAAAGATGGCTCCAGAACTTATTTACAAAAGAGGAACAGACTCACAGACGTAGAAAACAAACTTATGGTTACCAAAGGGGAAAGGGAGTGGGGTGGGGGGGGCGGAATAAATTAGGAGTTTGGGATTAGCAGATACAAACTACTAAATATAAAATAAATAAACAACAAGGTCCTATTGCATAGCACAGGGAACTATATTCAATATCTTGTAATAAACTATAATGGAAAAGAATCTGAGAAAGAAAATATATAGAAAACTGAATCACTTTGCTGTACACCAGAAACACAACATTGTAAATCAACTAAACTTAAATTAAAAAGAAAACGTCTCCCAGGTCCTGGAGTTCTGAGTTATGAGACTGGCAAGAGGCTTAGTTAGCCATTACAAAGATTTACATACATTTTGAAAAGTTCCAAGAAAGAAATTCTGAAAGAAAAGGGAGAAGGGGGAGAAGTCACGTCCCTTATTTTCAACAGGGAGAATTAAGCCTCTTATTTTTCACTTGTATTTGCCCTTCCAGGTGTTTGTGAGGCGGGTTGTGCTTAGGTGTACGTTGTGGGAGGGTGTTGCAAGAGTGTATGTTGGGTTGACTTTACCCGTAAAAAGTGTCTGTCGGGACCTCCAGTGTGAGGGAGGGTATGTATGCTGTCGAAGGTTATGCGGAGAGTTGCGCGGTATTGAAGTGTTGGTCCAGGGGAGTATTGTACGGATTCTGTACATGAGGAGGGGTCGTGTGCGAGGAGTCGGCGTCGAGCGGAATTACTCAGCCCACCAAGCGGTTGGGGGAAAGAATAAACGGGATACCCATAAGGTCTGCGGTTTCTAAAAGCAATTCCCAGCCGGACTCTTCCTTCCACTCTAGCCTGAGGGTTTTCAGACTACAATTCCAAGGATGCCCCGCTCCTCCACCAACCAGGAAAAAGACTCTCGTCAGTGGGCGGGGCTTGTAGAAGGATGGTCAGGCCAATGGGTGAGCCGGGACGAGTCGAAACCTACGCCGATTGCGCCGAGGCTGATTGGAATCTTTGGCGCCTTGGTTTCAGTGGTGAATGTGTGATGGGCGGGTGCAGCGACCAGTGAAAAGGCGGAGAGGTGGATCCAGAGGGTGTGGGCGGGGAGAGGTGCTGACTAGCAGGCAGTTCACCCAATGAAGGGCGGAAGCCGCTGGAGGGGGCCAGGCGAGTTGGCTAGAGGCGGGCGACTGTGGCAGCCGGGTGTGTGCCATGGCGGAGCCGGTGAGGAAAAAGGGCCGGCGGCCCAGAGGCGGCGGTGTCGGCCGAAGGGCTCGGGGATCCCGGGGCGGCCGTGGCCGGCATCCTGGCGCTCAACGGTCGCCAGCCCGGCGCACCCTGGACTCGGTGCTTGTGGACTTGGTCAGCGACAGCGATGAGGATGTCTTGGAGGTCGCAAAGGCGCGCGGCGCTGCGGACCCGGCCGAGGTCCCGCCCCCGGAACCCCCGGTGCCGGCCGCGCCCCGGGACGACAACGACAGTGACAGCGAAGGGGCGGACGCACGGCCGGCTGAAACCCCTCGGGTCTTGGTCAGGCGGCGGCGGCGGTTGCTGCTGGATCCCGGGGAGGCACCGGCGGTTCCAGTATACTCCGAGAAGGTGCACGCGGGTCCCCGAGAGGGCTAGCGCGGAAGGGCTGGGTTTAGAAATGTTGAGGGTAGGGTTCTAGGATTGGTCTTGGGAGACTAAACGGAAGCAGGGGCTAGGAGCCTTGGGGGCAGGGTTCCTGGGGTTTCTGTAAATTGGGGAGGTGAAGGGGTTTGGAGTGTGCTGGGAGTTTGGGATTCCCAGGAGCTGGAGTGTCGGGGGTATAGCGAGCCTAAGGGTTTGGGATCCCTGATGGTTCAGAGAAGAGTTGAGGCTCCTAGGGCTGGGATTTGGGGCATATTGGGTTTTAAGGTTGGTGGCCCATTGCTAAAGATCCAGGAAGATGGGGACTGGGGTCCATGGAAGTTCAGAGAGAACTGGGGGCTCCAGGAGGCTGGAGTCTCCACGTGGTAGGGTGAGCTAGGGGACTGAGATTCCCAAGGATTCTAAGATAGCAGGATGGCTAGCAGCTTCGTAAAAAAGGGGAACTAAGCTTGCATCCTTACAGTACATTAGGGAAATGGGTGTCGGAGTCAGAGTACTCATTTTTTTAAATTGAAGTGTAGTTGGTTTACAATGTTGTGTTAATTTCTGCTGTATAGCAAAGTGATTCAGTTATACATGTATGTATACACATTCTTTTTTTTTTTTTTTTTTTGCGGTACGCGGGCCTCTCACTGCCGCGGCCTCTCACGTTGCGGAGCACAGGCTCCGGACGCGCAGGCCCAGCGGCCATGGCTCACGGGCACAGCCCCTCCGCGGCATGTGGGACCTTCCTGGACCGGGGCATAAACCCGTGTCCCCTGCATCGGCAGGGGGGTTGGCAGGCGGACTGTCAACCACTGCGCCACCAGGGAAGCCCTACACATTTTTTTATATTCTTTTCCATTATGGCTTATCCCAGGACATTGAATATAGTTCCCTGTGCTATCCAGTAGGACCTTGTTGTCCATCCGTTCTATATGTAATGGTTTGCGTCTACTAACCCCAAACTCCCAGTCCATCTCTCCCCCCTCCCCCCTTCCCCTTGGCAACCACAAGTGTGTTCTCTATGTCTGTGAGTCTGTTTCTGCTTTGTAGATATGTTCGTTTGTGTCATATTTTAGATTCCACATATAAGTGATACCGTACGGTAGGGTACTCCAATTTTGGATTCTGGGGAAGCTGAGCTCCTGAGTCCCTGTTGGGAGGGCTGTAATGTCTACATCCTTAGGGAGGACTTGGGAGCTGGAGGAGGCCTGGGTGTGAGGGACGAATCGACCCCAGTTTTCTCTTTAAGTGGAGGGAGGATTTGGGACTGATCTACTTTTTCTTTGCAGGTGAAAAGCAGCCTCCACCTCATCCCAGACCACACGTCCCTCCTGAAATTCTGCCCCCCAGAGACTGAGGAAGGTAAGGGAGGGCTTCTAGGGAGAGGTGCCCAGCGCTGGCCTCTTTGAGGAGACTTTCTGGAGTTTACATCCCTGCAGTTAGTTGTTTCCTGAGGCTCAGGGGAAGGACATGGGAGAGGTGACTCCTGCATCCTAGCCAGAAAAAGCTCCAATCCTGAAAGGAGCTGGATTGTTAACCAGAAGGCACAGAAAATGCTGTCAAAACACCCTTCCGCCAACTCTAATAGGCATAAGAGTGAGCTAATATACAGATTTCCAGGTGCCATCCCCAGAGATTCTGATTCTGTAATCCTGGGAACAGGGGAGGGGGAAGTGTTAAGAATCTGTAACATCTTGTTACATCTGCAACAAGTGTCTTGGGAACACTCTGGAGCCAGCAGGGTGTTATTTGAATCTTTTCAGGGCTGCCCAGCCTTTATTCTCCCTCAGTGATGTGATTTTTGCAAACCACTCAAGGGCAGTGAGTAGGAATCAAGTCTAATAGGGAAGCGATCCAGTGGGCAAATGCAGACCTTGGACTAAGACTTTTGCACCATGAGGGAGTATGGCAGGGTGATTAGGAGCTGATTTGGGAACAGCAGGCCTGGTTTGAATGCCAGTTCTACCCCTTAGTAGCTGTGTGACCTTGGGCGAGTTAATCTCTCAATGCTTCAATTTCCTCATCAGCAAAATGGCGATAAAAAATGGACCTATGTCAAAGGATTCTGGTGAGACTTAATTAAAGAGAATATATAGAAAGCCCCCTCTTGGGCTACATATATGGTTTGCATATATGGTACCTGGAACAGAGAAGTACAAAGGCACCTCTGTCCTTGCCACTCAAAATGTGGACCCAGGAATGTTGGGTATCTTCCAGGAGTTTTAGTCAGAAACGCAGAATCTCAGGCCTCTGGCAGCTACTAGGACAGGATTTCACAACCTCGGTGCTACTGACATTTGGACTGGATCATTCTTTGTTTGGGGCTGTCCTGTGCCCTGTGGGATGTTTAGCAACATCCTGACCTCTACCCACCAGATCCCAGTATCACACCCCAACCCCTTCCTCCCCTCATTGTGACAACCAAAATTGTCTACAGACATTGCCACATGTCCCCCAGGAGGCAAAACTGCCTCTGAGAACCACTGATCTAGGATTCATTATCATTGTTTTGTATTCACAGTAATTATCTTATGGTTAATGATGATCGTGTGGCAAGCAAATGGAAAAGAGCTTCTGTAGTTTAGAATATTATACCTGATTTCCTTTTATAAGATAGTCAAGTTAAAATGAGTGATTTAAAGAAAGATATTAGGACTTCCCTGGTGGCACAGTGGTTAAGAATCCGCCTGCCAATGCAGGGGACACGGGTTCGAGCCCTGGTCCAGGAAGATCCCACATGCCGCGGAGCAACTAAGCCCGTACGCCGCAGCTACTGAGCCTGCACTCTAGAGGCCGCGAGCCACAACTGCTGAGCCCACATGCCACAGCTACTGAAGCCTGCGCGCCTAGAGCCTGAGCTCTGCAGCAAGAGAAGCCACCACAATGAGAAGCCTGCGCATGCAACGAAGAGTACCCCCACTCGCCGCAACTAGAGAAAGCCCACACGCAGCAACGAAGACCCAACGCAGCTAAAAATAAATAAACTAACTTAAGAAAGAAAGATATTAAATAATATAGAGATATGGCAAAATATGGCAATGACACACGATGAAATTTGAGAAACGTAGGCTCAGAAGGCCTATACTTACCTCTTTACCTCATTCCGTCTCTGCCCCACACCCCCTCCTCCACCCCAGAGTCACAGTCTCTCTGTGCCCACCAAACGGAGTATGGGAAGAAAATAAGAGAAATGTTAGAAAAAAAAAAACATCCTTTGACATTTGTTTTAGTGTATGTTTCATAACATATATAATAGTATGTCCCTGTATAGTAAGTAGTATATGTGTATTAAGTAAGTACCTATTTTCCGGGTTGTGTGCTCAGTGTTCTTCATTTGTGGGGTGCATGTGATCAAAAGTGAGAAGAGCATGCTTCAGTTGGGGTGAGCCACTTTCCGACTGTCCACACTCACCACTGTCTCATGCCTTAGCATGAAGTTCCGACACTCTCTTGCTCTAATCTGTCAGGCTCCAGTTCATTCTTCTCTCTGAGGTAGGCTTTTCCCTTTTGACTCACACCCCTTGAGCCCTTCCCCAGTGATTGTGTGTGTCTGGGGCTCCCTTAGTCTCCTCCTTTCTCAGAACCTTCTGAGGCCCCTGACTTGTCTCTCCTTCGCCTCCCGCTGCCCTCTCTTGGCTAACCCTTTCCACTTCCTCCTGCGCTGTCCCCAGAGGCGGACATGGCAGATTCCAGCAGTCTCCACGCCGAGGATTCCCCACGTCCCAATTCTCCCTGGAAGAAGAAGCTGAGGAGTAAGGATGGAGAAGAGAAGAAAGAGATGTTACCGTGAGTGAAGCGAGGGCCCTGGGGCCGCTGGAGCAGAAAGGGAGTTGGGGGGGGCTAGGCTGAGGCAGGCAGAGCGCTTGGCTGGCTCCTCAAAGGGTAAGGAGAGGACGGAAGGAGTCTTGAGGCTCAGGTGAGGAATGAAGCTCTTCTTGGGGAAAGAAGAGGTGAGCCCCGTCAGAGGATGACAGCGGGCCCTCAGGACCCGCCAGGAAATGGAGATTTCAGCTTTGTGTCGAAGGAAGCAGTGATGCAGGGGTGGAGGCTGTGGCTCTGCAAATCCGGCAGCTGTCTCTTAGCCAGCCTCTCTGTGCTTCAATTTTCTCTTCTGTAAAATGGGGATGATAGTGGTACCTGGGTCAGAATTTTGGGGTAAATTAAGAGTTAACCCCTGGCCGATAGTAAGTGCTTGGTGTCATTTGGATGTTATCCGACATTTACCTGGGAAGTAACTTATCTTAAAAGTTCGGCATTCTCCTCCCTCATATTTGGGTCATATAAATATAAAAATTATGACTCAGGTTTTCCCTGTCCTTACCTCCCCCTGTCTTCCCATAAGATGGATGTCACCGGAAGATGCTCTCTCTTGATTCTCCAGGTACCCCTCTGGTCCCCAGGGGCCCCATGAGGAGAGGTGTGGGGCTGGGGTCTCACCTCTTTCTCCATCCTGTCCCTCTTTTATCTCTACAGGGTTCAGGACACCTCACCTTTGCCTCCACGTCTGCCACGGACCAACAGCAGGAAGCATACTCGGGCACTCCAGAAGTTAAGGTACCAAGGGCAGGGGACTCTGGGCTGGGGTGGAGAGGGGCAGGGTGGAGGGGGCCCACCCTGACTGACCCACAGTTCTTTCTGCACCCCAGAGAGGTGAACAAGCGCCTCCAAGATCTCCGTTCCTGTCTGAGTCCCAAGCAGCCCCAGGGCCAGGACCACCTGAGCCAAGAGGATGAGGTGGTCCTACTGGAGGGGCCCACTCTCCCAGAGAACCCTCGGCTCTTGCCGCTCAAAATCCAGTGCCGGGCTGACCTGGTCAGATTGCCCATCAGAATGGTAAGTGCCTGAAGAGTCTGGGAGAAGGGTCCCAGGAACTGTCTGTGGAGAGACTGTGGTGTCTGGGCAGAAGGGACCGTGGCTTCCTTTGCCCATCCTGCTGTCTGGAGCTGCCCAGCGCTTGTTCAGCCCTGTGCGCCTTTGTGCTCACTCTTCCCCTTGGGAGATTTTTTTCCTCCCTCTCCCCTCTCTTTCTGGCAAACTTCCCACCCGTTTTCAAGGCTCCACTAAACATCCTAAGAAGCTTTGCTTGGTAGCCCCTCCCCAGGGTGCATCCCTCCCTCTTTCCTTCCCTCGGACCCTGTGCTTCCCTCTTGTGCTTGCTCTTACTGCCTTGGACACCCAGGTGTCACTTGGTCATTCCGATCCCCACTAGCTTCCTGATGAAGGCTACTCTTTTTGTAGGCATGACTCCAATTCCAAAACAAGAATGATAACAGAAGTGACCATTTATCGAGCAGTAACCATGCATCAGGCAAGCAACTAAGCCAGGGCTTGTGAACTGGCGGCCCATGGCCTTATCGACTCTGCTGCTGCTGTTGCTTCTTTTCTTTTGTCGCTGCTGTGTGGCATGCGAGATCTTAGCTCCCTGACCAGGGGTTGAACCCCCTGCATTGGGAACGCAGCATCTTAGCCACTGGACCATTAGGGAGGTCCCATGCTTCTTCTTCTTTTGTGCTGTACGGTGCTTTTATTTATTTAGTTTTTTGGCTGCACTTCATGGCATGCAGACCTTCCCCAACCAGGCATCGATCCCGCACCCCCTGCAGTGGAAGCGTGGAGTCTTAACCACTGGACCCCCAGGGAAGTCCCATGTATGACTCACATGAACATATGAGTTCATCACCAACCTTTGCAACGGGTGATTTTGTACCAGGGTCCAGATTTCTGGTTTCTCTTAAATAGGAAGATACAGCACCTGGCCCATATCCCTACATGGTACCAGTCAGCTGGAACTGCGGAACAGCTGGCCTGTTTAGATGGGGCGTATCCAGTTCTGGTTGGCCGCAATCCCCACCACTCCCTTTTTTCTCCTAACTCATGGCTGCTTCGTGTCTTTGTGTCACTTGCCTGAACCCCTTATTAACATGATTTTATTTTATGCCTTGCCAGGTAAATATGGTGGAACTCACAGATGAGGAATTCAGCAAGTAGTTAAGGCCAGAAACTGGGGGTGGGTGGGGGGAAGCACATCAAGGCAGGAAGGCCTCCTTCACTTCTTGTCCCCCTCCCAGTCGGAGCCCCTCCAGAGCGTGGTGGACCACATGGCCGCCCGTCTTGGGGTGTCCCCAAGCAGGATCCTCTTGCTCTTCGGAGAGACAGAGCTGTCCCCTACCGCCACCCCCAGGACCCTAAAGCTTGGAGTGGCTGACATCATTGGTGAGAGGAAGGCAGGGAGGCTTGAGGAGGCTTTTGCCACAGGGAGGGGATATGGGAAGAGGCCCAGAGGGGACCCTGCTTCCAACCCCCGCTTAGGCCTGGCTTCCCGATCCTGCCCCCCACAGACTGTGTGGTGCTAGCAAGTTCTCCGGATGTCGCAGAGAAGTCCCACCTGCTCCAGCTGCGGGTGCAGGGGAAGGAGAAGCACCAGCTGCTGGAAGTCTCGCTGCCTCGAGTGAGTGGGGGAGGTGGCTCTCTGTGCCCCTTGCCCCGTGCTCTGTGGTCTCTCGTGTCGGTGGGTGGAGGATGGAGTCACTGCCCTCTGTGGTCTTGGGTCCCCACCCATCCTAGATAGTGGAAAAAGCCCAGTGTTCAACTTCCCTCCCCCTTCTGCTGGGGGCCTGGCTCTGGTCTCCTAACTCCTCCTGGTTAAAGTCAAAATCACCCTTGGACAGTAACCAATAAAACCCATCCTAATTACAAAAGAAGTGACAGTCCCTGTGCTAAGGATATTTACTTCACATTCAGGATATTATTGAATTTCACAACAATCTTATATGGGAAAGCACTGTTGTTACCCTCATCTAACAAATACGGAAGCCAACCTCTATAGAGGTGGAATAACTTGCCGTATTAGTTTCTGAGAGCTGCTATAACAAAATACAACAAACTGGGTGGCTTAAAACAATAGAAATGTATTCTTTCACAGTTCTGGAGGCTACAGGTTCGAAATCAAGTTGTCAGCAGGTGGGACAAAGTGAGAGAGTGGCAATGACATATGTACACTGCCAAATATAAATTAGATAGCTAGTGGGAAGCAGCTGCATAGCACGGGGAGATCAGCTCGGTGCTTTGTGTCCACCTAGAGGGGTGGGATAGGGAGAGTGGGAGGCAGACGCAAGAAGGAGATATGGGGATATATGTTTATGTATAGCTGATTCACTTTGTTGTAAAGCAGAAACTAACACACCATTGTAAAGCAATTATACTCCAATAAAGATGTTAAAAAAGAAAAGATAATATTGGACAGCAGAGGGGAATATAGGAATTATTTTATAATAACTTTAAATAGAGTATAATCTATAAAAATATTGAATCATGATGTTGTAAACCTGTAACTAATAAAATATTGTAAATCAACTATAAAAAAAGAAAAGTTGTCAGCAGGGTCATGCTCCCTCAGAGACTCTAGGTAGAATCCTTCCTTGCTTCCTCCTAGCTTCTGGTGGTGGCTGGCAGTCCTTGGCTCACAGCTGCATCACTCCAATCCCTGCCTCTTTCCTCACATGACGTTCTCCCTGTGTGTCTCTCTGTGTGTCTGTTTTCTCTTATAAGCACACCAGTCCTGTTGCCTTAGTGCCCACTGCAATTGAGTATGACCTCATCTTATCTTGATAACATCTTCCAAATGAGGTCACATGCACATTTACCAGGGGTTAAGACCACAGGGTATCTATTTTGGGGGACACAATCAACCCATAGCACTTGGCTAGGGTTATACATCCATTTCAGTGGGAGCGCCTGGCCCCCAGCTTGGGTCATGCTCACTCCAGAGCCCGGCTGGCTTCCTCCTTGTGATTCATGCCTCCATCGTAGGTGAGGAGACCGGCTTTGGAGAACCTGCCTGACCCACAGCCAACATCCCAGTCCTGGGCTCTGTGGCCCAGCTCCCTAGAGAGGAACCAGCTTGCTGCTGGCTTCTTCGGCCAGTTGCCTTTCCCTCCGTGGGTTCTGACTTGACTTGTCCCCTTGTCCCCCCTGCCGCAAGTCCTCTGTCTGTCCCTACAAGTTCTCCTCAGCCCCTCTTTTCAAACTCTTACACCCAGTTTTTTCTCTCCATCCAGGATTCTCCTCTCAAGACCCTCATGTCCCGCTACGAGGAGGCCATGGGACTCTCGGGCCGCAAGCTCTCCTTCTTCTTTGATGGGACAAAGCTTTCAGGCAGGGAGCTGCCGGCTGATCTGGGCATGGAATCCGGGGACCTCATCGAGGTCTGGAGCTGAAACCCCACTCCCTGTTTAGAGGTCCAGCTTGGACTTGGGGAGAGCGGCTGCCCCTGTTTGGCCCCATAAGGGCTAGCTGAAACTGAGGTAGAACTTATCCTCAAGCTGAAGCAAAATCAAGGAGTGATCTTGGACCACCCCCGCCCCGCCCCGCCCTGCCCCGTTGACCCTGGTTTCAAGCCGGTAGCTACCTGATTAGTTGTGTGGTGGTCCTTGCTGCCCTGGGTGGACTGTGGCTCCATCCACAGGGTGTGCTGAGTTTTGCAGTCTCCTGGGACATGGAGAAGGTATCCCTTACCCTCACCCTTTCCCCTCCACCATCACCCTTTCCTTTATCGAAATGTCTCTTTTATGAGACGGCTCCTATTGAAAGAGTGAGTTGAAATCAACATGAAATCCCAGGTATGGGATTCCAGGCCTGGCATTTATGCCACGTCCAGGACCAGCAGTGGCCTCAGTGTCATTGTGGGGTGGGGGTGAAGTTTGCTTGAGGCACATACGCGGGTGTGGCTCCTCAGCCTGCAGGAAACTAGATGATCAAGCTCACGCATGCATTAGCTTCAGCAGAGGCAGACGATGGGTTATTCTTTTGAAGAATATAGTAGATTCTCAGGCTTGGGTGTCTTCCTCACCCCAGGACCCTTTCAAGCCACCTTCCTGATGCACACACATTATTTAAGGCATAATTGAGCACCTTGAGCCTTTTGGTTTTGGATCTCAGGATTCCAGTCCACGCAAGGCTTCTCTGGTTTTATGGCTTTTCCCCTTCACTCCATCCTCTCCCATAAGCGTCCATTTTAATGTTTTGATTACATGTTTCTGAATGTGACTGTATCCTTGAAAAATGCCATGTTGTATGTGTGAATATACTTTTTCCACATGTAGTATCATGCTGTAGATCTTGTGCTGTAGCTTTTTTCACTCAACCTGTGTTGCTTATGCTACATCAGCTTTGTTTCTTTGAACTGCTCTGAGGTATTCCATGGTGGGTGTCAACTGCATTTTGTTTACACATTTGCTAAGTGGTGGACGCCTGGGTGCCTCCAACTCCTCAGCATGAACATCTTTTTATGTGTCCCCTTCCATATTTTGTGAAAAGTTCTCTTGGCAGAGGTACCCAGGACGGGAATATGGGTCGGACAGGTTAATTTCTCTATTTGTTTTCAGAATGGTCATTGACTCTCCCACTTAAAGCTTCCTATTTCTCCTCATCCTCACCAGCACTTGCTACTGCCCAACTTTCTAATTTTTGCTGGTCTGTTGGGTGTAAAGTGGTGCCGTATTTTAATGTACATTCATCTGATCACCAGTAATTTGGGGAATTTCTTTATATACCTGTCAGCTTTTCTGGTTTCCCTTTGTGTGAATTGCTCATTTTCTCATGGGGGCTTCCTATCTTTTTTTTTTTGTTTACTCTCAAAAGTTCTTCGTATATTCCTGGGCAGTTGCAAAAAACTCTCAAAATGGCACTTGTGTTTGTATATTCAGGGGTGTCCTTCACTGAACAGAAATTCTTAATTTTAATGTAGATGAATTAACTATTTTGTTATATCATTTGTTGCTTTTTGATTTCTTATTTAAAAGTAGTTAAGATATTTTACATTTTCTTCTGTTAGTTTATTAGCTTTTCTTTCACATTCAGGCCACTAATATCGGGCTGAAGTCCAGCCAGTACACACTGGTATGTGCTGGCATCTGCTTTGCATGGTCAAATATTTGTTCTCATTGGTTAATGCCAGGCTGTACTGGCTGCTGAAATGTTGAATACTACTTTTAAACTATTTGAAATTCACCTTTGTCTATGAGATCCAAGTTTTAGTTTCACCATATAACGAGCCAGTTTTCTCAGCACCGTCTACTAATAAAGCCATGAATTTTCCACTGATAGGTGGTATAATTCTGGCAAAAACATATCACTCTCTTTAAAGAGTTTTTTGTTGGAATGTGGTATTCCTTTGAACTTACAATGTGGGAAATATAGAAAGAAAATTTTTTAACATTTAAATAATCCATGATATGGTATAACTCATTTTTTTTCAGATACTTTATGTCCATTAATAAGTCTGAACACATTAAAATTAAAATATGTTCAATCTCAACAGAATAAACGGGAATACATTCAACTTGTGTGTATTTGAGGATTTCTGTTTCTCTGTCCTTCCCGTGACCACCCCCTCCCCATGACCCCTGTGGCTGAGACCATTTGTTGTCCCCTCACACCTATTCTTCCTCCTCCCAGGGTAACAGAAGCCCTGGTTTTTAGCAAAGCACAGAGAATTCAGAATGAAGACAGTGCTTGCCAGCCTCCACTGTAGCCAAGTGTGGCCAGATGCCAATTCAGAGGAAGGCGTGCAACTTCCAGGACACGTCCCTAAGCGGGCAGTGTGTGCCCCTCTCTTTGGCTTTCTTCCTGCTGCTCACTGGAAGTGGAGCATCCCTACCGACACAAGGTGACTTTGGGGAAGGAAGCCATGCAGGGCAGGACAAGGAGAGAAGGCGCCTGGGTCTGAGCTTCCATGCAGCGTCTTACCAGCCCTGCACTACTGACCTCTGGGCTTTGGCGAGAAGCCTGTCTTGTTTGGCGAGAAGCCTGTCTTGTTTAAATCACTGCTATTGGGTGGTGATTCCCTGGTGGTCCAGTGGTTAGGACTTGGCACTTTTACTGCTGGGGCCCGGGTTCAAAACCTAGCCAGGGAACTAGGATCCTGCAAGCCGTGTGGCAAAAAAAAAAAAAAAAATCACTGCTATTGGAGGATTTCTGTCACTTGTAACCAAACCCCGTTCTAGCCCCCCAGTATGTTGCTATCACAAGCAATATTGTGGTGACCCCGAGTGGGATTTTTCTCAGGTTTAGAATCACAGATCATTGGATGTGCACCTACCCATTTTCTCTTGAGTACAAGTGACTGGGCCTCTTTATAAATCCATTAGCAAGTGCTAGAAGGTTCCAGTTTCCTCTTATCTTCCCCAGTGCTTAATCTGGGGAAGATACGGGAAAGACTACTCATTGTAAAAGGATTTGCATTTCTTCAATAATGAGAGTGATTATTCATCCTTTTGATCAAAGAGATTGATCACTCATCAGGGAATCTTTCTAAAACTGCCCTGATTAGAAACATTCAAAACTTTAAGGAGGGCTTCCCTGGTGGCACAGTGGTTGAGAGTCCACCTGCCGATGCAGGGGACACGGGTTCGTACCCCGGTCTGGGTAGATCCCACAATGCCGCGGAGCGGCTAGGCCCGTGAGCCATGGCCGCTGAGCCTGCGCGTCCGAAGAAAAAAACTTTAAGGAGCCCTAATCTGGTGCCACAGCTTGGCACTTTTCCTAATCTCATTCATCCTCAGAGCAATCCTGGGAGGCATGTGTTATTATTCCCATTTTACAGAAGAGAAACAAGCTAAGATGAATTAACCTGTCCCAGACCACACAGCCACGGAATGCAGGGCCAAATGGAAAACCAGGTGGGCCTGTTGAAAACTGCTCCCTGCCCGCTCCCCAGCCAGCCTCCCTCTCTCACTGCTCTCCACACTGCACCGCTTTCAGACCCTTGTGTTCATTATGCTGCCTTCTGTGGCAGGACCTTTGCACATGCTTTCTGCTGCTTGCACTGCTCTTCTTTCCCTCCTGGAAAGTCAATGACTGCCCCTCCCCCACACCTGAGATTTTTATTCAGGGACTTACTGGGGACTATAGCCTGGGAGACAGCCTCTCAGATAGCTCTGAAAAACTGCTCCAAAGAGGTAGGGGGTGAGACCAGTTTACATGTAAATATTTTGGTCAGGGAGTACAAGCAGTCAATATACATTTTGGTAAAAGATTACTGCCGGTCACAAAGAGCAGTTTTCTCAAGTTGATGATTATAGTGCTTTTCTATGCATGGGAAGATGCAAGAAGCTGGGTTCATTAGAATTCTTCCTGAAATGCATATTAGCTACCTAAAAGCCTGTTTATCCAAAGCACAAGCATCCTGTTATCCTTGATTTCCTCTGGAGCAGAGTGCTTCATCCCGTTATCCGCTTAATCTCTTCATCTGAAGCACCGAGTGCGCTGTTGGTCAGCTGCTGCAGCAGGTTAATCTTTGTAGACTTGGATGTTGAGCAAAATGCTCTTTGCTTTTCTTTTGTTTGCAGAGCTCAGGGACCATTTCCTCAGAGAGGCTCTCAAACCTCCCTGACCAGGTCAAATGCCCCTGCTATCAGGTCCTTATAATACCCATATGCCAGACTTTTTTGTGGCGCTTGTCATGGATGAACTTTTTTTTCCAAGAAATTCCATATGTACTTATATTTCACAAACCACAATTTCCAAAGCTAATAGAGCAAAAGTTGGGCTCCAGTTGAAACCAGTAGAACTGTACAGACATATTTATTTATCTGAACTTAAAGGAATTTTAATCGAGAGATCCATAAAATTAAAAGGCACCTTGGGCAGGGGGTGGGGTGGGGGGGACTTCCCTGGTGGTCCAGTGGTAAAGAATCTGCCTTTCAATGCAGGGGACGCTGGTTCGATCCCTGGTCAGGGAACTAAGATCCCACATGCCGTGGCGCAACTAGGTCTTCACACCACAACTATTGAGCTTGTTTGCCTCAACGGGGAGAGACCACATGCCACAAACTACAGAGCCCATGCGCCCTGGAACCCACGCGCATGGGTGAAAGAGAGAAAACCCGCATGCCACAACTAGAGAGAAGCCCGAGCACCACAACTAGAGAGAAACCCAGACTGCATGCCATAATGAAAAGATCCTGCATGCCTCAACAAAGATCCCGTGGGTCGCAACTAAGACCTGACTCAGCCAAAAACAAAAGAAAAAGGCACCTGGGGGAATTCCCTGGTGGTCCAGTGGTTAGGTCTCAACATTTTCACTGCAGGGGGCACAGGTTCGATCCCTGGTGGGGGAACTAAGATCCTGCATGACATGCAGGCATGGCAATAAATAAATAAATAAATAAATAAATAAATAAGTAAGTAAGTAAATAAATAAATAAATGTCACCTGTACTTGGGGAAGAACCAAATATTTTTCCCATTTGCCAAAACCAATTAGCATCAAAATATTTGTCTTTATAACCAGAAAGGTTTATTTTCATTAATGTCCAGAGGTACTGTGTTTGGACTACAGATTTTTAATTTTTTTAGCTTAATGGAATATAATTTACACGCCTAAGCATTCACTCATTTTAAGTCTACAGTTCAATGAGTTTTAGTAAATGTCCACAGTCCTGCAAAGGTGCCTCTTTGTACCTCCTCCTCCCCCTGGCCCCAGGCAACCACTAATCTGCTTTCTGTCACATTAGTTTTGCCTTTTCTGTATTTTATATGAATGGAATAATACAGTGTGCAGTCTTTTGTGTCTGGGGTCTCTCACTTAGCACAATGTTTATGAGATTTACCCATACTGTATGTATCACTGAGCAGTGTTCCACTGTATGAATATACTATTCACCTGTCGATGGATACATGGGGCTTTTTCAATTTTTTTGGCTATGACGAATAATGCTGCTATGGACATTCACATACAGGCTTTTGTTTGGATATGTTTTCATTTTTTGTTGATAGATACCTAGTAGTGGAGTTGCTGGGTCATATGGGAAGTGTATGTTTAATTTTCTTTTAATTAATTCAATTAATTTATTTTTGGCTGCTTTGGGTCTTCGTTGCTGCGTGTGGGCTTTCTCTAGTTGTGGCGAGCGGGGGCTACTCTTCATTGCTGTGCGCAGGCTTCTCATTGCGGTGGCTTCTCTTGTTGTGGAGCATGGGCTCTAGGCACACAGACTTCAGTAGTTGTGGCACACAGGCTCAGTAGTTGTGGTGCACGGGCTTAGTTGCTCCGCAGCATGTGGGATCTTCCCGGACCAGGGCTCAAACTCATGTCTCCTGCATTGGCGGGCGGATTCTTAATCATTGTGCCACCAGGGAAGCCCTGTATGTTTAATTTTTAAAGAAACTGCCAAATTGTTTCTCAAAGTAGCTGTACTCTTTGCATTCCCACAAACATTCATATCATTTCCAGTACTTTATCAGGGTATTTATTTCTTTATTTAGGCCACGCCTTGCGGCATGCAGGATCTTAGTTCCCACCCAGGGATCGAACACGTGCCCGCTGCAGTGGAAGTGCAGGGTCTTAACCACTAGACTGCCAGGGAAGTCCCAGTGCGTTTATTTTTTTAAGCTATTCTAGTATAGTTGTATCTTAATGTGGTTTTAATTCTATCTTCCATAATGACCAATGGTGTCATATACTTGTTGGCCACTCATATATCTTTTTTTTAACATCTTTATTGGAGTATAATTGCTTTACAGTGTCGTGTTAGTTTCTGCTGTATAACAAACTGAATCAGCTATATGCATACGTATATCCCCATATCCCCCCCCTCTTGCATCTTCCTCCCACCCTCCTCATCCCCCGTCTAGGTGGTCGCAAAGCACCGAGCTGATCTCCCTGTGCTATGCATATATCTTCTTTTGTGAGATGTCTGTTCATATCTTTTGCCCACTTAAAAAATTGTGTTTTTGTCTTACTGAGTTTTAAGAGTTCTTTATACATCTGGATAGGTAGAAGTCCTTTGTCAGATACATGCTCTGCAAACACTTCCTTCCAATCAGTGGCTTGCCTTTTCATTTCACAGGTGCACCTTTTGCATGCAAAAGCTCCTTCAGATAAGCTCTATGAGGGTAGGTAAATCTGCAGTTGCCTGACACCCAGCACAATGTCAGGCATATAGTAGCTGCTCAATAGTACTGAGGAAATTCAGTGACTACAATCGGAAATTCCTCTCCATCTCTTTCCTTTAGACCCTAAAGGGAGACCAGGCTTAAGGTTCTGAAACGTGAAGTACTCCTGGGGCAACGCCAAGCAGGACAGTGACTCAAGAGTTTCTGATAAGGCCTCTTGCGGGGGTCCCAAGAACATGAGACTCTAGAATTTCGGCAGAGGGACTTAAGACGTCTGGTTGGAAGAGGGGTCTTGAAGCTTCCTTTGCATAGAACTACATTAACTTTACTTAGAGTGTATGTTTATTAGCTGTAGCTTGGCGATTGGGGCAGCGAGGCACTCAGGAACCAAGCTGTTTTGGTGCCAGGGCTCTGTGGTCGAGCCCCGTCCATGGCTAGGAGTCTCCTTAGCCCCTGCCTGTTCCAAGTGAGACCATCAGAGGGCGCAAGTTGGAGGTGAGGAAAAACTGGCTCCAGACGCGGCCGGTGGGGTCTGGGGACACTTTCTTAAACGTCTGCAGGGCAATCTCAGCTGGGTTGGGGAATCCGAAAGGTAGGGACAGGGGCCACTGTTCACCATTCATTCATTCATCCAACACTTACTGAGCACGTATGAAGCCCCAACCGGACACTGTGGGGAAGAGAGTAAGAACTGTCTGTTGGGACTTCCCTGATGGCGCAGTGGTTAAGAATCTGCCTGCCAATGCAGGGCACACGGGTTTGATCCCTGGTCCGGGAGGATCCCACATGCCATGGAGCAACTAAGCCCGTGCGCCACAACTACTGAGCCTGCGCTCTAGAGCCTGCGAGCCACAACTACTGAGCCAGTGCTCCTGAACAAGAGAAGCCACTGCAATGGAAGCTCGCGTACCGCAATGAAGAGGGGGCCCCGCTCTCTGCAACTAGAGAAAGCCTGCGCGCAGCAACGAAAACCCAACGCAGCCAAAAACTACATATAAATAAATTTTAAAAAACAAAACTGTCTGTTGGCACGTTTAGAGATATTTACAGTACTACTGTATTTCCAGAATCTTTTAAGGTTCCATTATCTCGTTTGATCTCGTTCAGTAAGAAGTCTGCCAAGCAGCGTCGCAGATAAGGAAGCCGAGATTCAGAGTGGGAAGGACTGCAACAGTTCACCCAGACACCTTTAGGCCGGCTGTCACGGCGGGAACGCAGCCGAGGACCGTAGCGACCGGCCACAGTCACGTGACGCGGGAACGTCGGCAAAACCGCAGGGGCGCGCGCGGCCTCCGTAGTCGCGTCTGGGGCCGGCCCGCAGTGGCGTCCACCGCCCCCGCCCCTGCTCCAGTGTCACATGACCGGCTCTTAGACAACATGGCGGTGGCGGTGGTGCGGCGCCGGGGCTGACCAACCGCGAATGCGGTGGGCTCCTACCCGGGGTGAGGGGTGGCCTCAACCGGGAGGGGGCGGGGGATCGGACTCTCCTCAACCCGTTCCTGTCTCTGATCTCACCGGAGTTCCACTCGTCCCTCCGCGCGGTGTGTCTGCCGGGGCGGGGACGCATGATAGAGCCTGGGTTCCATCCCCCGTGTTCTGTGCTTCGGGGCAAGCTCCTCTCGGTGTCCGAGCGCACTTCCCTCGCCTGGGTTCCCTCCATCCTCCTTTCTCCAGCCTCCTCCCCTCGCAGGTGGGATCGTCGGTGGGACCGTAGCGCGGGCGGGCGCGGCCCCCGGGACCATGTCCGGGTCCGACACCGCGCCCTTCCTCAGCCAGGCGGATGACACGGACGACGGGCCTGCGCCCGGCACCCCGGGGTTGCCTGGGTCCATGGGGAGCCCGAGGTCCGAGGATCACGAAGTCCCAGACCGGGAGGGACTGCAGCGCATCACGGGCTTGTCTTCGGGCCGTTCGGCTCTCATAGTGGCCGTGCTGTGTTACATCAACCTCCTTAACTACATGGACCGCTTCACTGTGGCTGGTACTGACTTCTGGGAGAAAGTTAGAAAGCGGGGTGGGAGTGGGGTCCCGAAGGTGGGGCTGCCTCGGCCAGCCCATCCTGAGTCTTCTCCTTCCCAGGCGTCCTTCCGGACATTGAGCAGTTTTTCGACATCGGAGACAGTAGCTCCGGCCTTATCCAGACGGGTGAGTGGAGGCCCCTCCTGGGCACACAGCACCTCTTCTTTCTGTTCTACCCCAGTTGGGGCCACACGCTGGCGTGCCTGGGGCCTCATTTTTGGGAGGTCTGGTGGCTGAGCTAGGGGAGGAGATGGCCATGGCTCTGCCCTGAGGCTGTCCTGTTCGATTAGGACACCACAGTTAAAGAGATTTAAAGAGGGAGTCAGTTTTGTATAACAGTTAAAGAGAGACCTGGGTTTATATACCAGCTTTTCACTTAATGTGATGGTAGGCAAGGCCCTCAACCTCTCTAAGCCACACTTTCCTTGTCTGTGAGCTGGAACTGGTAATAACCCCGGCTCACCTCATAGGGCTGATGTGAGGATTAAATGAGATAATGCCTGTGAAGTGCATCGTACAGTGTTGGAAAATGGTAGGCACCCAGTAAATAATGGCAGAAGAGGGTGTCTAGAAGGGGAGGAGGTGAGTTTTACTTGTTCAGAACTTCGGGATTTATGGGAAAGGCAAAGCCAAGTCCAAGTCCTATTTTCCTTCCTTCCCTCCTTCCTTCATTTCTGAGCACCTACCATGTGCCAGGCCCTGGAGGAAGTACTGATAACATCCAAAGAATTCGGCAAGACGTTTTACCCCCATTGTCTTCTAATCCTTTATCAGCCAAGGAGTTATTATTCTTGTTTTATAGAGAAAGTAGGTAGTATCATCTACATTTTTATAAAGAAACTGAGGCTTGGAGAGGAGTTAAGACTTGCCTAGGGTCACACAAGTTCGAGGCAGAAGAGGAGTTTGAAACCAGGTCTTGCACTGTTCTTTGCTCCACTCCAGGCCACCAAGGAACTGGAGTTATTTAAGCCAAAGTTAAATGGAATGAAAATGGGATCATAGGTCCAGGTCTGCAAAGCTCTAAAGAGTTGTTGAGTTAGAGAAGAAATAGGTCTGGCACTTCCCTGGCAGTCCAGTGATTAAGACTCTGTGCTCCCAATGCAGCGGGCGGGGGTTCAATCCCTGGTCCTGTAATTAAGATCCCACATGCCCTGTGGCTCAGCCAAAAACAAACAAACAAACAAACAAAAAAACCCAGGTCTTTCTCGGCAATCCTCTTCACGATTTCATTCAACACATGTTTGTTGAGCACCTGTTTTGTGCTCGGCAGTGTGTTAAGTGATGGAGACACAATCATGGCCAATACAGTCCTGTCTTCCTGGAGCCAACATTTTGCTGTGCACGAGGGGGGCAACAGTCCCTGAAAACCTAAACTAATAATGAGACAATTTTCTATAGAAATAACTGTTATGTAAAAGAAGACAGAGTAGCTGTGATAGAGGGAGACTGGATATGTGGTGGTTGGGAAGGTTTCTGAGCTGAGGGTGAAGGAGCTGAGGTTGTGGAGCTCAGGGGAGAGGAGAGACAATTCCAGAGAGGACAGCAGGTGCCCAAAGCCTTAAGGTGGTATTGAACTTGGCAGTTGGGCCATTGGGGAAAGTCGATAAGCATGAAGTTGGAGGGGTAGGGAGAGGCTAGATCAGATAAGTGCATTGCAGACCAGGGTAGGAGGAAGGGATGAGTCAGCTGGGCCATCCATTCTACAATGGAAGATTTGAAGAACATTGGAGACGGAGCTGGACAGCTCCTACCTGCCACCACTCCTGCTTGCAGGAAGCTCTGATAGTTTCAGGGTTGGGAGTTATTCCTGCCCCGCTTCTCACTCCCTGAGCTGGTTTGGGGGTGGGGTAGGGGTACTGGGGCTGGGCTGTGACTCTCTGCTTCCCCCCAGTGTTCATCTCCAGTTACATGGTGTTGGCACCTGTGTTTGGCTACCTGGGTGACAGGTACAATCGGAAGTATCTCATGTGCGGGGGCATTGCCTTCTGGTCCCTGGTGACACTGGGGTCGTCCTTCATCCCCAGAGAGGTGAGGTCCCCACTGGCTCCTGCTTCTGCCCTCCCCCCCTGCCCTCTCCTCCCCGCAACCCTGACTCCCCCATCAGTCTTCGCTGCTGCTCTTTGGAGTCATTGCAGACTGGGCCCGGGGAACTTGTGCGGTTCCCTTGATCCATGCCGTCTTCCGTTCCCTGTTTGCCTGAGTTATCTGCCCACCCCATCCTCTCCCCTTTTCTTCCAGAACCTTCTTCTGTCCATCATCCCCTCCTTCCACTGCACACCTAAACACACACATTTCTCTATCACAGGAAAGACCTTACCAGGACTGCCCTCTGTCCGTCTTCCTCTTCCTAGTCAGACTTCCGCAGAGGGAAGCTCCAGTCTGGGTGAAGGAGCAGCTGGGGCGAGGCTCTCACTTTGCCTGCACTTCCACCCCTCCCACTCCCCGCTTGAGCACTGCTGGCTAACCTGCCCCCGCCCTCCGTTGCCAAAGTCAGCAGTGCCCCTCAGTTGCTAGCTGTAGCTCCCACCTCCTAGTCCTGTTCTCGCTGCATCTCCTGGGAGCCCCTGGCTCTGTTGACCTACTTCTCCCTTCCGAAAACTCTCTTCTAGCTGCCGTGACCCCCTCTTCTGGTTTTCGTCCTGCCTCCCTGGCTGTTGCTTCTTTGCTCCTTTGAAATCATCTCTGTCTGTTCTCGCTTTCTGCCCTGGGGCTCTTGTCTCCTCAGCCCCGGACACTACACACTCTCCTTGGGTGATTGTGCCTTGTTCTTAGCTTTGGTGTCTCTGGTAGACAAATAAACCCCTGCCTAAGATCACTATTCACTGTTGGGGTGTCTTGGGTGGATTGGACAAGATAGAAATAAAGATTTATTTCGTACCTACTGGGTGCAAGGTAATGAACAGACCTTTTGTTGTCCAGTTCTCACAATAGGTATGTGAACAAGTTGTTATTATTCCCCTTTTGCAGATAAGGAAACTGAGGCTCAGAGAGGCTAAGTTGCTTTCTCAGAGTCACAGCTAGTAAGTAGTGGAGCCAAGATTCAAGCTTAGGTTGGTTAGATTCTAAAACCCAGGCCTCTCCTGCCATCCTTGCCACCTCTTCAGAGCTGTCTGGTGAGGGAGGCTGGGAGGCTGACTGCAGGGCGGGGTGCCACCTGCCCCATATCTCGTTCCCCAGCAATTCTGGCTGCTCCTCCTGACCCGGGGCCTGGTGGGGGTCGGGGAGGCCAGTTACTCCACCATCGCACCCACCCTCATCGCTGACCTCTTCGTGGCAGACCAGCGGAGTCGGATGCTCAGCGTGTTCTACTTTGCCATCCCTGTGGGCAGGTGAGTGGACCTCGGGCCTGGTGGGGAGGCAGAAGGGCCTTGCCTGGAGCGGGACTGACCAGCCGTCTCTTCTCCTCCCTCACCCCCTTCCCACAGTGGTCTGGGCTACATTGCAGGCTCCAAAGTGAAGGATGTGGCGGGGGACTGGCATTGGGCTTTGCGGGTGAGTCGGGTCACGGCCTGGGGAAAGGTTAGCGGTGCACTCACTGACTCCCCCTTTCTACCGTCAGACAGCCCCTTTTGAAGGCAGTGCTCACTCTGCCAAGCCTACAGGCAGCCTAGCTGCCCTCACTGCGAAGCCACGTGCTAGGTAAAACTCTTGATTGCAGGTGATAGAAGCCCATTGTACGACTGTAAACCCCCAAATGGGACTCTGTTGGCTCTCATAATGGAAAGTCCCAGGGGGAGCTTCAGGTAAAGCTGGATGCAGGACTCCCACGGTGTCACAGGAATTTGATCATCCTTTTCTCAGCTCTACTTTCCTCTGTTATCTTCCTTCTCAAGCAAGTGAAAGCTCCACATGTTTATCTTCCCGTTTAGAAACTTCAGCACCCTGGATCCTTGAGCAGTAGTCCTGGATGGTGTCTGATTAGATGAACGTGGGTCACATGCTGGCACTGACTCAATCACTGAGGCCTGGGAGGTTTAACATTACTCTTGGCAAAGTCTGGGTTACAAGCCCCACCCTATTTGAACCACATGGGTTGAGAGAAATGGGGGGAGTGCTTTCCCAAAAGAAAATTAGGGTGCTGTTGCTGAAGAGGGAGCAGTTAGGCTTGCAGAAACAGAAACACTTCCTAGTGGCAGTCACCCCCTCCCCTCAACCACAGGTTCAGCTTCCTTGAGCAGGCAGTCACTGGGTGTTTGAGGTCTTGGGGCCTGAGTTGCTTTTATACACCCTCACTTTCTCTCAGTCCCCAGGGTTGAGTGTCTCCCCGTCTGTGCCTTTCTTGAAGCCCACTCTTTTGGCTGTTGTGCTGCTGTTCCTGGTAGTACGGGAGCCACCGAGGGGAGCTGTGGAGCGCCACTCAGACTCACCACCCCTGAACCCCACCTCGTGGTGGGAAGATCTGAGGGCTCTGGCAAGAAAGTGAGTTCAGTTCCATCCTAACCCAACGTCTGAGGCCCCCAGGGAGGCCCTGAGGTCTAGTTTGAGATTTACGTGGGTGTGGTCTTTGTTCTGTTTTCTGTCAGCTGGCCCTACCCTAAGGCCAGGAATTCTGTCGCCACTGCTCCCTTATGGCAGCTGCTTGAATTACAGGCCCAGATCCTGGAAGCCAGTACAGCCTCTGGACTCAGTGCCCTGACTATTAAAATAAGCCAGAGAGGGAGAAGAGAGGTCTCTGACACTGATACCTCAGTGGAGTCTAACTTCCTCCCTCCTAATTGTCTGCAGTCCTAGTTTCATCCTGTCTTCCCTTGGTTTCACTGCTGTGGCCTTTGTCACGGGCTCCCTGGCTCTTTGGGCTCCTGCTTTCTTGCTGCGTTCCCGTGTGGTCTTGGGGGAGACCCCCCCCTGCCTTCCTGGAGACTCCTGCTCTTCCTCTGACAGGTACCCACATGGGGTCTGGTCTGGGTGGCCCTGCAGGTGGCAGGGGATGAAGTGGAGAGAGTCTGTGATTCAGACTCAGGCAAGGAGAGTGTGAATCCTGACTCCACAAGCTACTTCCTCTCCCAGAGTCTCAGTTTCCTAGTCTGGGAATAGGTGCCTTCCTCTTGTGAACCATGGGGTGCTGTGCCTGGGTAGACCTGGGTTGTGAGGGTGGCCAGGATGGACGATTGTTCTCTCTGGGCCATGGGGGTGAGGCTAGCCCCCTTGCCCCTCCCCTTCCCCCCAGCCTCGTCTTTGGGCTCATCACCTGCCTCACTGGGGTCCTGGGTGTGGGCCTGGGCGTGGAGATCAGCCGCCGACTCCGCCGCTCCAACCCCCGGGCTGACCCGCTGGTTTGTGCTGCTGGCCTCCTGGGCTCTTCACCCTTCCTCTTCCTGTCCCTCGCCTGTGCCCGTGGTAGCATCGTGGCCACCTATGTGAGTAGCCAGCAGGTGTCTGAGGGGGTGTTCTGGGTCCAGGGTGGAGGAATGGTGCACTGGGGCAGGACTAGGTTCAGAGCCAACTCTGGAGTGGGAATGCCTGGGTTTGAATCTCAGCTCTGGCCATTCTTAGCTGTGTGACATTGGGCAAGTGACTTAACCTCTCTGTGCTCAGTTTCATCTTCTGTAAAATGGGAATAATAGTAGCAACTGTCTCCTAGGGGTGTTGTGAGGGTTAAATGAGTTAATAGATGGGCCTGGTACCTAGTGAACCCTCCATGTGTTTGCTTTTCTTATGATGAGACCAGTGCCCCACCCCTGTTCCCCCTCCTTCACCGCCTACCTCCCATCCCCCAGATTTTCATTTTTATTGGAGAGACACTGCTTTCCATGAACTGGGCCATTGTGGCTGACATTCTGCTGGTGAGTAGGTGGCCCAGGGTTACCCCAGAGGCTGATGGGAGCAGGGAGTGGGGGCAGGGGACCTCACTTGCCTTGAACTGTGACCTTCACCCCTTCTTCAAAACCCAGCCCTGGACTGACTTCAGAGTCCAACCCCAGGTGGGCCTGTAGCCCGGGCCTGCCCTGCCCTTCACACCTCTGAGCTGGGGTTCACCTCACCTCAGCCTAGGCTGAGCCTTGGCCCTGTCCCCACCCTCTGTCTCCTGCTCCTTTCCTCCCAGTACGTGGTGATCCCCACACGAC